TTATTTTATTTTATTTTTTGAAACAACATAAGCTCAATGCCTGCAAGAACGGTGACAAATGTTAGATTTTGGTGGAACTAGCAAACCCTAGATATTGGGGATGAATGGCAAATGAATTGATGGTTTGAGTCATAAGGGAAAGTAGATCAAAAGGCTCAAAAGAGGAATCATTAATAAAATTTTGAATTTTGGGGAAAAATAAAAAATCTGAAATTCTGTTGGGTCAGTGCCTCACTGGCCCCACATGTTGCCATGGGGCTCCACCACTGACAGCGATGATACTATTTGGCAATACAGAAGGTAAATACATCAAACCAAGGAGTCTGTAAGATAAAAGCTTTTAGACAATGCCAAATAAAACAAAAATTGAACAAATTCTATCATCTCCATGCATAAAGATGTGAAAAAAATATCTGATGTCTAAGCTTTTTGTAAGTCAGATGAGCCTAACGCTTTTTATACGTCTCATAGCCTTCTAATGGAAAATTGTGCCTGACACGTAAGCTGCACCATTGGTTTTATTGAGGATGATGATGAAGAGTTCTAACTGGAACGAAAACAAAAAGCTCATTTGGATTTCATTATAATGAGATAATAATGAAGAGTAGTAATGGGTCCTACGGAATGTAAGAATAGTAAGTCGGTAGAGTTGTGAATGCGTGGTTAGAATTATTGTGTATTCGAGCCCCATTTTGTTTTTAAAATGAGTTTTGTAATAGTGATTATTTGGAGAATCTGTGGTTAAATTGTAAAATGTTTTTAAAATGAGTTTTGTAATAGTGATTCTTTGGACAATTCAACTTGTTTAAATCCCCAACTAACATGAGATGCAGCAAACTCACGTCCTATGTATCTAGAGCTATCAAATATCATGACTTAATGTGCTACATACACTTAATTAGGCCTAGCCAAAACTAAACTTCGTCTATATCTCTCTATTTTCTCTCCCTTTTTAGGAGATGTAGTTCTTTGATTGCTGAAAATTACTTATTTTTTGAAATTTGAAATCTAACTAACTTGGGATTTACACGAGTTTGCTTAAAATTTTTTTGACTTCTGTGTGTTTTTCACATGAGAGAGCCCATGGTAACGGGTGGCAACAACCCTGATAGTTAAGGACTAAGGAGAAGTGGAAGAAATTGGGTTCTGTAGGGATCAGGTGGACCGTGGACATAGGTTTTGGTAGGGTATGGTCACGATAATCATTGTTGGTGGACTTTGTGGGAGGCAATTTATTGCTGATGGTTGACGGAATTGAAGGGTTGCGTTTGAAGAAAAAGGTGTTGGTAAAGTTGAGGAAGGGGCTTGCGCTGGAGGTAGAGAGGCGAGTTACTGGGAATGGAGGATAGAGTAGGCGAGGAAGGGATGATGGTAGTGGGAAAGGTGCACCCGGTCAAGGGGATGTTGAAGAAAGGTAAAAGATGGCAGGGATGCCAATTAGTTGGTAGAAGGAACAAGAAAAGGAAATGAATTGTCACTTTGTATTTGATTAAATGGAGATTTGGCACTACAAAAAAGGGTACCATTCCCAAATGACAAGAATGGCCAACCCTTGGAGTAAGGGATGAGAGAACCTATGTCATTGGGAATGAGGATGGCCGTTCCTCAGAGTCAATTACACCAAGCATGGGATCGTAATCAGATTTGTGAATGTCCAGTCATTCCCAGCCCATTCCTTCATAGAAAATTCCACCTCATCAAATTACCACCAAAAAGATCAAATCTCAAAAGCAATTAAAAGATTTACTTTACCTAAGAAATCGTTATTACTGAACATTAATCTAGCAAAAGAATTTTTCAACACAAACTGAAGATAGAAATATAAATCACCTGCATAACTGGACTTCGGTCCTTTCCCTTCGGCAAACCCTCGAGCCTTTTATTATCTAACTGAAATTCACAAAATTCAATGCATGAAGATTTAGCTTTTTCTTATCAAAATACTAAATTTAAAGTGCTATCATTATTAAGGTTACACAAAATTTACTGTAACGACTCACCAAAAGCAATGCAGCCTGAGGAAAATATCGGGTTATATGATCACCAATATTTTTGGCAACACTAGCCAACTCCAAATCATCGCTTCTCTCGTTAGCATGAAAATAACCAACGATACTCAATCCTTTTTCTCCATAATACTCCTCTATCTATTATATTCCAATTTAAAAAATCAAAATCATAATACAAATAAAAAAAATAAAGAGTGAAAAGTTTACTGTTGATAACCATCATGAGGGAGATTTCGAGGGGAGGGAGGAGACCGATCTGGGAGTGGAATAGAGGGACGGAGTCGACAATCTCGACAGATTCCCCAGCGGAAGAAGAGCGTCCGATGAGAGCGGCGTCGACGGCGGAGGTCCTGTGCTTTAGCGCGTGGAGGACCAGCTTTATATACGCGTTTTGGTGGATCTCGTACCGTGACTCGCCGCCCATGACTCACTGAGTCCGAGAGGAGTGCCGGCTTTAAAATTCAGTAGAAGTAGTCAAGTAGATCGGGTAAAGAGAGCGCGGCGGTCGTCTGTGTGCCTCTTTAGACTTCAATCGCAGTGAGTTTGAACCTTGAGGTCCCAGTTGTGAGGCATGTTTGGCTAAGTTCCAAAATAAGTAAAAGTCAAAAAGGATAATTATTTGGATTAATCCCCTTATTTAATTTTGAGTATCATATTCCCCTCAATTTTTTTTCATTGAACTTTTATCTTCAATCGCTCATTAATTGACACATATCGCCCCCGTTTGAGCCCCATTTTTTCTCGTTCCATTACATTAATTTTTTTCTCTCTTCATCTCAACCACATATTGTCAAATAAAATAATATTACACACAAATCTAAAACTTTTCCACCACATATTTTCCCATCAATCACCATCCTACAAATTTTCAACCCCAAAAAATGGGGGCCAAACAGGGCCGTTAATGATTTACGTCCAAAAGTCCACCAGATAAGCATAAAACATTAAAACGACATAATTGCTCATCTTAAAATTTATAATAAACATAAAAGTACGACAAAATATTTTCTTTAATCCCAAAGCATGCAAATGACATATTTTGATAGATACATCATCAACAATGATAAATGTTAATGAATGAAAGTCTGATGATAAAAAATTGAAGAAAAAGTCAAGAACATAAATACTACAATAAGAAAATTTTGAAGACCTCGCATGCAATTAAAATACCGTGCAACAAGCGTCGTAAACTTGTGAATGGACGAGTTTATTGCAACGAGCACAAGAATGAACAAGTTTCTACAACGTATAAATGAACTTCCAAACAATACAATCTGTCAAGTATCTCAGCACATAGTTGATTCATAGGGAGTTCGTTTGAAATTTACAGATTCATATATCACGAAGGTGTCGTTCAAGGAGATCATTTTCTTTTCTGATGGCTTCAAGATCTACTTGTAACTTGTCCACGTTCAAGCGTCTAGAAGTAGTGGTTGCGAGTTTGGCCTCGTAATCAGCCACGCTCCTTCGCGTTCTGTCAGTGTTGATAATGTCTTCAGCAATCTGTTCAAAGCTTTCGTGGATGTTTGTGAGAAGCCTGTAAGCTTGTCGAGCAACTGAGTCTTTCTTGGCCTCCCTGCAGAAAAAGGATTTTTTGTTTAACAAGTAACTCAAAATAATTGGCACAGTCCCAGCGGATGTCAAACTCGGGAAAGGTACAAGAAAGGCTCATCAGAATATTATACCTGAAAATGGTTTCATCCACCACGGCATAAGTCCGAGTAAGGCGATCTTGGATGGAATTACTCTCCAACTGAAGATCTCTTGTGTCTTTTAAGATCCGCTCTATGTCAATGTCCTGTTTCCTGCTATTTTTTGTGATCTCTTCTATCCGTTGAATGTAAGATCTCCTCGATGCCAACTTGGGTTGCTTCTCCAGATCTGCAGACAGCTTAGAAAGTTCCTCCTCTCTATAGAATGACAAAAAATGAGTAAAGATAATGATAATAATTAACCCCATTGAGATGGGTAAGGTCATCCAATCTCAAGATGCAGCAGTACACTTCCATGATTTACAAGGTAAAAGTTTTAGCTAAACCGAGCTAGGCTTAAACAACAATGATCCTTAACAACTACAACAGACTAAGTTTTGTTCTACCCCCTCCCTCCTGTGACTTGTTCTACAGAGATCACATCACTCATCTCCATGGGAGCCTCTTTAGGTCTACGTAGAACATGTCCCCAACCACCCAAGTCTGTCTTTCCCTTAATTTATCCCATTGACGCCAGCTCCATTGCTAGAGTATGTTCTTGATTCTTATCTTATCAATTTTAGTACGACCAGACATCCATTTAACATCCTCATCTATGCTATATTTGTCTTTAGTATACAGCAGGTCTAATCACTGCCTTGTAGATGTGCTGGTTTTCAAACACCTGCTACTCTTAATTCCTACTTAATCTTTACTTCTGTAATGTCAGTCTTTTTTTCACAACATAATTCAGATATAAAGCTGGCCTTTCATAAAAAGGGAAACATACAAAGGCTCATCAATGCCATTGCCAGACTCAGGATTTGATGTTCTTTTGTTAAACACTGATACTTAGAAAGATTAAAAACAAGGTGCAAATATTAGTAGATTCCATTCACTGACATTTAAAGCCAGAATTTTCAAGCATAATTGCAAAGAAATATGTCCATCAATGGAGTACCTTTCTTTGATCTCAGCTAAGACGCCTTCCACTTCAAATTCAATTTCTTTCACTTTTGTAAGCTTTTCGTGAGCCTCTGGATTTAGGGCTCGGAGGGACTGCTCAAGATTTCCCTTTTTCTCTTCCAGAGGTTTTCTTATGGATTCCCTGCATTAGATGTAGCTACTCAAATATTGCTTGCATCCTGTTTTTGGCAAAAGTTCACTACAAAGTTTAGATTAACGGCATGTTCCGTAGCAAGGTTGGAAAGCACCAGTCAGTATTATGGAAGACTAGTTAATTGTACAGTCTGGTCCAGTTCAGTACTCCATAGCAAACATGCACTAAATGTTCATTCTTTGCAGGTTACAATGTCACAATGATTGAGAAGGATCAAATTGGAAGCAGATACAAAAGAACTTGACACGTTGTTTTACTTGTTTGGTCAGGAAAAATGTAGTCCTATTGAATATGAAAGGATTGCCAACACCTTACCATAGAGACTCAAGTTCCGCAAGCTTTTGTCTTTTTGTTTCTGTTTGGTCATTGAGCTGTTCAATGTAAAACTGAATAGTATGTTGGTCATCAAATATCATTTCTGCTGCTGCTTTCAACAACTCAAACTCCTCTTCAAGATGTTGCAAGTCTGATGACTTTGCAGACAACTCCTTAACAGAATCCCCTTGACTGAAATCTAGGTCTTTTGCTGCAGTTTCTTTAACCCCAACTCCTGTTACATTTTGTAAATTTAAATCAAATTCATCAGACCTTTGAATGAAGTCATCTTCAGACATCATATAAGAGGACAGTGGTCGCTGAGTCTTCAGTTTTATATCTTTCAATCCTTTTAAAACCTCTTCCTTTTCCAGAGGTTCTCCTTTATTGCCAACATTGTTCTTTGAGACGCCTCCCAATTTATCTTCTTCTACCAATGCAGCTATCCGGGCTTCAGAAGATTCAGATAGCCTTCCAACCAAGAATCTCACCAACTTATGCAAGTCCTCTTCAGTTGGATAAAGAAACTGCCTAACCAACACATATACTCTATTTAATGCAATGAATAACACTTTAAAAATAAATTAACAATTTTATATCGATGGGAGCAGAAAGATCAAAGCCTAAGAATAGCGTAATCTTTCTAATCCTATAGAACTTTGGAGAGTTAACATCATGAAAAACTTTGTTGACCTATTTAGCATGTATCCTACTTCCATGAGATGAAAAATAGATTGAAAGGTCTTCTCTTAAAGAAAATTTATGATATATTAAATATCATATCAAGTGAGAATCATTTTTTGGACGATTTTAATCCTACTATAATTCAATTATTTCAATAATACCTTACTTTTCGTTTTCAATATGTAATAAATACTACTAAATCCTTGTCATGTATGAATTTCGTGTTATTAATTCTCAATTAATTAACGTTCACATTAATCTAGACTCAATGAATCTTGATCTACATGAATCTAGAGTTATTATAAATAAATTTATTTCTATTCATATATCTAAGAATTTTAATGGTTGTTTAAATTCATGCAATAACAATTAATTCTTATGTGCCAAATATCATATAAAAAAGTTGCTCATTTATAGTATTTCATCATCACAAAAAATTGAATTATAGAAGTTGAGTTTTGAGAGTACACCTTCTTCTCTTAAATTTATATTCTAAATTTTATTTTCTTTAGTTCATTTGACTCATCAAATCCTCCCAAAAAAAATAGTATCAAATTACTTGTAGAGCACTTATAAAGTATTTTAGAAAACGTGCAATGCACATTCAACTCTAGTGGAAGCAAAAATTGAAATTGAAGCATGGCATTTAGCATTAAATTCTAACTTCATCTCCGATCAATCTAAAATAATTTGCTCTCAAGAGTGAAATATAACTGCACAAATTGCCATTCAAATTTTCAAATAAAACTTGGGAAAATAGAACTATGATAAACTGACTCAAATGATTGTGAAATGTGAGGGTGCGTGAGTGAGTGCCAGATTTTTTTTTCTGCCTTCTTTGCTTCACCTCTCTTTTCCAACTCTGGTGGCCAAAATACAGTGAAGTAGTCTTTCCCCTTCCTTCATCTACCTCTCTCTTTTGGCGCAGAGGATGGGGGTGGCTAAAAGGTAACTGCAACTCAGTCTTTGGATCATTGTTGATGTTATACCCGTGCTTATGTGACACATTGACGAGACATACCAACTTGACATGGCGAGTCAGGTTATATCTTACTACTCAAGACATACTTGGCAACAAATCCCTCAATCTAGGAACAATGAGCTAAGCTAAGGTTGACCAAGAAGTTATTGAGATTATGTCATATAGAGGTCAACTAACTATCATTGCCAAGCTAAAAGGCTCATTCTAAAGCATAAGTTCAGATATAGTACAATGAAGCACCCGAAGCCGGACAAGAGAGCTCAGATTCAACTATACATAGAAGTTAAGCTCAGCGAAATCCATCCCAACCCAAATGATGATTAGAATGACATCAGCTTGTTCACAAGGTAGAGGACCATGGTTTTCCCACACTGAGAGGGATTTGACTAATGTAGCTTACGTCCGTCCAATATTTCAGGAGACGTGACATCCCTTCAACTCTTTACCAAACAGATCAAATGCAAGAAAAACTCTTTTGAGTTCTGCACTCCAAGTTTATAGATTTATAGTTTTTTTTTTTACATTAATGAGAAGTTCTACGACAAAAGCATAGCCCTGAGCTTTTTATTAATAAATACCCCATGGCCATTCACTCTTAACTATGAAAAATTAGCTTTGTTTACTGAAACTCTTATCAAATTTTCGACTAGCCACGTAACTGACTTGAAATTCAAATCAGCAAACTCAACTTCAGGTGACCAAGCTCAATCAATCTTGCAGAACTTATAAATAATTTCAAGTTGTCTTTGTTGACCGGAAACATCTAGGAGGATTTTGACATCAAACAGTTGCCTCAAATAATCAAGAGGATTCTTAAAACATTCATATCCCTAATTGTCCTGTTTTGCCATATTATCCCAGCGTGCATTGCCCACCCTATAGGCGATTATATCCTAACCTCACATTGACTCGTATGGGCAGCGTGGACAAGTGCTTATAATGACGTAGAGTTCAGAAATAATAGTTGCAATTAACAATTGACATAGCAATCGTTATTAGTTTAATAGAAAATAACAAAATCAGAAAATCGTAAGCAGTGTAACGTTTTAACCTTGTGGAAGCTGAGGTCGCCCATGAAGCCCAAAATCTTAAAGGCGGAGGCGAGTTCCGTACAGATCTTCACTCGATCAGCCATTGAGACTTCCGGCAATGACGTAGGAAACGACAACGTATGACTATGGTCGATCAAGCGGATGGCGTGGGAGCAGATTGAGAACAGGGTGGCCGGAGTAAGGTCAAGGACCGATGACACACCGGTTGGAATCGGAACCCCCGAGTTAGCCACCGAGTTCAGCAGTATCTCTTCCGATTCTTCCATTTTTCTTCTGTGAACGAACAGTTTGTTTCTCGTTGCAGTCGCAGAGTTTTTGATATGGCGACGCCGTCGTTTTATTGATGGAATTTCAAATTGGTTTTAAATAATGTTAAACAATTGATCACTCTTTTAATGACATCTACTTCAAATCTAATATCGACATGTTAAACCTTAACATCGACTAACCATTATATCCATAACGCAAAGTTAAAAATCTTCAAAATAAAATATGGTTTCTAAAGAGAGAGAATATTTCACGTTGAGCCAAGAAAATTTCAAAATTGCCTCGATTTTTCGGCTTGGAAAAGGGTGAAATACGAGGATTCTTGTACTCCATTTTCGAGCTTAAGCCCTTGTTTGGCTCAAATTATTTGGCCAAAAATATAAAAATTATGATCGTTATTTTCAAAGAATTTGAATTTGTGTGAGATAAAAAAGTCAAAGATGGTAACTGATTTGATTGGCAACGGTGCATTTTTTTCTACAAATTGCAAAAATGTGGAACAAACAAGCTGTAAATTTCAAGAAAGCATTAAAGAGGCATAGAGTTATTACATCAAATGGGAAAAATTTAATGTAAATTAGGAGACTAAACAAAGAATGGAAATAGACATGGCTCTTATGAATTTCCTAATAAAAAGGGAAAATTGCGGCCGCGGTCCCAAACCTTTCATTTTGTTGCAGATTACACCCAAACCTTTAATTTTTGCAGTCGAAGTCCCAAACCTTTATATGTAATAGCAGCATCGGTCCCAAACCTTTACTTGTTGTGGTAGAAGTCCCAAATNTAATCTGCAACAAAATGAAAGGTTTGGGACCGCGGCCGCAATTTTCCCTAATAAAAATGCTATTCATCCTCAGTGGGGATGAATCTCCAGTCTATGTGGATGTAAATGATTGGTTAAATGATAGGTGAAATTAAATGACTTATTTAATTTCACCTATCATTTAATGCCACATAGACTGGGGATGCATCTCCAGTGGGGATGAATAGCATTTCTCCTTTCCTAAATTATGCCATATTAGTTCAAGACTCGTTCTTGACATGTAAGCTGTCAAGGCTCTGATTTCTTTCACAGCAGGGTTTCTTTACGGTACTACGTCAACATTGTTCACTAGAGTATTTAGCTTTACAAAGTAGTCTCATTATCCACATGCTTCGAGAAGTTATACTAGTACAAAAATCTTTCTATACAATACAAAACTTTATGTACTACACATATACATAAAAATGAATTGAGGCACGTTCCTTGAACCTTTTTCACCCTGCCTCAAGAAGATAAAATTAATTTAAAAAAAAAAAACAGCAGAAAGATTGTCAAAATCCTATCTAAACAAATCAATGTAGTGCCAAAAGTGTGTGATAACTAAAAGCGAGCCATCTAAATTTCTACAGTTAGCCATAAAAAGCTTGTTGCCCAACAATTAACATTCTTTCTCACTGCATTAGGCAGAACTTTGGTATGGTCTTGTTGCATGTTTGGATAAGCTTAAAAAGTTTACTTATATAAGTAAATAACTAATTTTCTTTAATGGTTAAAATTGAGACCAAGTTAATTATTTTGATAGAAAGTCACTAAACATCCAAACACGTTTGAAAACAAGAATTACTTATTTGAACTTAGCCAAACATGCTCTATATAACATACGTATACAGGAAGGAAGATTAAGGTTCATAGATTGATATGAGAATTAAGGAACATGGAACAAATTGGAAGGGAAGATGAAATTGAAGATTTGTCACTATCTCCTCCAACAATGGGATCCATGCAAATTGCAGGCAGCAATGGATTTGGTCATAGCATAGAGTTTATGTCTCAAGCTTACTTGACAAATAGGAGTTCTGAGATTGATATTGAGGACGGGATATCGAATGCAAGTAAAGATCGGCCCCTCCCGATATTTCTCAAGGCAAGTCTCGCTTGTTTAGACAGCACAACGTACAAAACTTTTATGTTATTATTTACCAAAATACCCATTTTTTGAGAATTTTTTTATTTATTTTTAATCAAAGAGGACTAGATTCAAGTGTTATAAACTTTGGAAGGAAAAAGTTTGATTATTCTTTCTATATAGAAGATATGTTTACGAAGTATACTATCTAGTATTGTCTAATACACCTTACATTTCAATGCAGTTTGCAGATGTGGAATTCAAGGTAAAAGTTCCTCAACGTCCCTCGAATAATCCAGTGAAGGCTGTCGTGTCGAAGGTGGCTTCACAATTGCACATTGAACATGATAACTACAAGAAGATATTGAAAGGTATAACTGGGAGCATTGGCCCTGGAGAGATTCTTGCTCTGATGGGACCTTCTGGTAGTGGAAAAACAACTCTGTTAAAGATAATAGGTGGGAGATTGCACGAAAATGTTACCGGAACTATTACTTGCAATGATATTCCATATAATCCAGCTCTCAAGAGAAGGTACACACTACTCGAGATTGAACGGGACTCAATAGTACGATTAATAAGATTTAAACTTTTTTTCTTCTTTAATACTGTCTACCACGGTACGATCCATCATACCAGACAAGACACCAATGTCTATCATGTTCTATGTCAAGCATGTTTTGTTTCTTTTACAGGATTGGGTTTGTGACACAGGATGATATACTTTTACCACAGTTGACAGTCGAAGAAACCTTAGTTTTCGCAGCTTTTTTAAGACTTCCAAGCAGAATGAGCCAGCGCCAAAAGTATGAACGAGTCGAGATGATTGTTAAGGAATTAAACCTTGAAAGGTTTGTTCAGACTTCAGATTATTTATGATTTTCATTTAAATTGAAATGGTTCATATGATTATGTATGTCTGGATTCAACAATCATATAGGTGTCGTCATACACGAATTGGTGGAGGATTTGTTAAAGGTGTATCAGGAGGAGAAAGGAAAAGAACCAGCATAGGATATGAAATTCTCGTTGATCCTTCATTATTATTCCTCGACGAACCAACTTCGGGGCTTGATTCGACTTCTGCGAATAAACTACTTCAAATACTTCAAGGTCTTGCCAAGGTACACAACCCACCATCAAAATATTCGTGCTTGGTAAAGATGATTTTATAGTACTGGACGCCATTAAGGAAAAACTTGAAATCTGGTTCATTACACTGTCCACCTTATCGAGTATCACTTACAAAAATTGCACTTAATGTAACTCGAAGGACGGCTTCTAAAGGATAAACATTTTATGTTTTCATAGGCAGGAAGGACAATTATTACAACAATCCACCAGCCTTCAAGCAGGATGTTTCACATGTTTGACAGGGTTCTGTTAATTTCAGAAGGGTATCCTGTCTACTATGGAAAAGCCCGAGAGTCGATGCAGTACTTTTCTTCTTTAAGGTTCATCCCGGAGATAGCCATGAACCCTGCAGAATTCTTGCTGGATTTGGCAACAGGACAAGTAAATGACATAACCGTCCCTGAAGAATTACTTATATCTAATGGAACTGCTGATTATGAAAGAGTTATAATAAGAGTAAGCATTCCTTTCTTGATACTTTGAATCATGTTGTTGAAGACTAAATTTAAATAAATAAATGTTCTCCAAATTGATTTCTAAGACGCTCTATTTGAATAAATATGTCTTCTCCAACTAGTACTTACAGCACAAATACAAAGTCGAAATCGAACCCAAAGAGAAGCAAGAGAATCATCAGAGATCAAAGGCATCAGAGCGCCTTCAGTTAGCCATTCAAGTTAAGAAGGACTGGACTCTAACTTGGTGTGAACAATTTAGGATATTGTGCAAGAGAACATTCAAAGAAAGAAGGAGAGATTACTTTGATCAACTAAGACTCATTCAAGCACTCGGAGTTGCTGTCTTATTAGGCCTTCTCTGGTGGAAATCGAATACTAAAACCGAGGCTCAACTCAGAGATCAGGTAATCTGCACACATTTCTCACTTTCCCCGATACGTATTCTGCAACTATCTGAAGTATCTAAAAACAACGTTTGTTTACGTTAAATTGCAGATTGGTTTATTGTTCTACATTTGCATTTTCTGGACTTCTTCGTCAATATTTGGAGCAGTATACGTATTTCCGTTTGAGAAGATATACTTGGTGAAAGAAAGGAAGACAGATATGTACAGATTGAGTGTGTACTATGTTAGCAGCACTCTATGTGACATGGTGGCTCATGTTTTATATCCCATGTGTTTCATGTGCATTTTGTATTTCATGGCTGGATTCAAGAGGACAGTGGAATGTTTCTTCACGACACTATCTGCAATACTATTGATCACCATTACGAGTCAAGTAAGTTAAAAAAAGCTCAAGGACGTAGTTATCTGATAAAACGGCCTACCTGTCGCATAACTATTGGTGTGACTTAACTAATCCCTCATTTATTCGTTAAATTTAGTTGATCCATTTTTGTGCATTTAGGGTGCAGGAGAACTTTTTGGAGCTGCAGTAATGAGCATCAAAAGGGCTGGGATGATTGCTTCTCTGATATTGATGATATTTCTTCTCACTGGAGGATACTATGTTCAGGTATTAAAATTGCAAGAGCATATCTATAATATATTAAATATCACGTCGACTGAGAATTATTTTTTGAACGTTTATGGCCCTACTATAATTCAATCATTTCAATAATATCTTATTTTTTGTTTTTCAATATGTATTTAATTTATTTAATTATTTAGTTACAATCAATGTACATGTACATTTGATAGATTCATTTTACACGTGTACTTTCATTAATGTATAAATTCTCTATTGTTAATTCTCAATTATTTAACATTCACATTCATTTCATTGATATTTATTTACATTTATGCATTTCAGTATTATTAATTCTAATTATAAGTTAATTAAAATTTCACATTCAATAATACATTTAATTATTCACATCTATATATGCTAATTAACATCCAGTTTTACTTAATTGAAAATTAAATAAATTATTTAACATTCATTGTCGCGTATATATTCCATGGTATTAATTCTAAATTAATTAACATTTATGCATATTCAAATATTACTTTTACGGCACTAATAAAGTATTTTACATAACCTGCAATGCACGTTGCACATTCATCGTTGACTAGTATACAAAGAAAGAAACAACAAACGAAGTTTTGTTCTCGATAAATTTGAATTGATTACATAAATAACTTTTCAGGACTTGTTCATTCGTTGCTAGTTCCACTCAAAGATTCAAAATAATTAAATCCACAACACATTATACTAGTTTTAGCCTCTGCTTGTCTCTTCTAACATTGTTGTATTTGAGATCGCGTCATTAAGCAATAGTCTCTTTAGATTTACCAAAATGCTAAGTTGCTATTTCCTTAATTCATCACCGATCGGTGCTACCTCCACTTATTTGGCATAGATTCTCGTTTCTTTATCTCAGTATGACCATACGTCCTTGTTGACAACCACATTTCTGCTACGTCCATCTTATTAACATTCTGTCTGTTAACACTTTCCAAAACAATTTGCGGAGCAAGAACATGTACTAAAAATGTCTTAAATTTCCACAAACCATGGCCTTCTAACACAGTATGAGATCATGACAAACCTTTAGTTCAAGTCTAACTATGAGATGTTATTACTGCAGCACATACCAAAATTTATGCAGTGGATCAAGTATGCATCTTTCACCTACTATGGCTTTAGGCTTCTGTTGAAGGTGCAGTACTCTAGCGATGAATTATACGAATGCAATAGCCATGGCGGCTGCCGGAGTTTGCAGAGTTCACCTTCGTTTGACACGGTCAGTTTGAATGGTGGACTACAAGAAGTTTGGGTGCTATTAGCCATGGCTTTAGCTTATCGTTTCTTAGCATACATTTGTCTTCGCAGAAAAATAAGCATCTACAATATTTGAAGAGCACATGTTTGACAATAAATATGTTGTGAAAATCAATTGTACGTTTACACAACAATCTATTATACAGAACAGAGAAACAATCCACATAAATGAAAATTACAGAGCAAACTTTTCTTCAAGGAAACTACAATCAGACTTCTTCTGTTCATTACGTTTTATGCTCACATCACTGGGTATATTACTCAAATAGTTGTTTTATTTCATGTACTTTTGGAGGAATTTCCTATGGAAATCATTTCTGATGGTATCATTGATAAAGCGTTTTGCAATCTTGGTTTCGCCACGGGCCTGGTTCTTGAAAACAACATCATCGTCCCACCTGTTCGGACAAATTTTTGGTAACAGTTCAATACAATATAAATAAAACAGCGTGTAGGGTCAAAAGATTGACAGCATACTACCTTCTCTTTACACTAAAGGAAGTTGGGTTATTAATCAGAGGATTTCCACGCAACAATTCTGCCTCTTTGGCTTGCAGCTCTTCTTCTTGCTTCTCTCGTTCCTGCCAGAAGCACAAAATACATCATTAAGTGAAAAGGGAAGGGCCATAAATTAATCGACATTGTCAAATGTCGTTTAAATTTTTTATGTCAACCCAAATATCATTTTAATAGCAAAGCCATGGTGTCAACATATGGATACCAAGACATCATGCAACCTTCTCAAAGAAGAAAACCAAAATTCTTAATTAACTTCACCAAGCATTGTTAAACAACACATGAATGAGAACTCAAAGAAGGAAACACACTATGAGAAACTTTAGTATTGAACAACTTACTTCCCGTAGTTTCTGCTCAGCTTTTTCCTTCCTTATAAGTTCAAGTTCAGCCAGAAGTGCTTCTTCATCATCTTCGTCGTCGTCGTCATCATCGTCATCCTCACTAGCCACATAGTGAACAATTTTTAGTGAACCATGCTTCAAAATAATTTATTAACAGAGAAAATATATACACTATGCAATTCATCATCAAATCAAGATGTGTATTTGGAATGTACAGTTGGCAGTGACAGAATTAAATCGAAAATGGGAAATAATGCAAACCTATCATCACTTTTGACATCCACATCGGCATCGTCCGCATCCACACTACGTGGAACAATACGATCTTCAACTTCTCTCTTAGAACCTGCAAACAAAGATGCTGTTAGCTCAGGATAGAATTAATTCCAAGTAGTTTCATTCTACAAGTGAATCAAGCAAGTAAAATTTTACCTTCTAGAAGAAGATGACCTCCCTTTCTACGATCCCTGTCCTCTGCAAACATAAAATATATGTCTTATATACAAAATTAGCAAATGAACTCTAGAACACGACAAGAATTCCTACCCTTAGATGAAAAATGTCTCCTCTCCCGCTCCTCCAATTCATCTCTAAGGTTTCTCCTTAGTAGCTCATCATGTGTGTCTTGTCCTTCCTTTCTGTATATCAAAGGGTGGCAATAAAAATATAATACAAACAGATATTGCCACATAATATGCATAAATAATATATAGAAACTAATAAAATAAAAAAGAATAAATAAATAAAATAGTAATCATCTTGGACTAAGGCGAGACAAGAAAAGGATATAACATTCAAAGCTGATGTTTCACAACCAAAAAACGCAGCATAGGTGACCTTAAATCAAATTATAGTTTTGATGCAAAAATAATATAAACAGCAGTATGTGGTTGGTGTGTGTATGTGTGTGTGCACATATAGCAAGCCAGAATTCATACAAAATACATTTCTTCCTTTTCAGGAAGCACATTCACGAAACAACACAATATCTTTGAAATATAATAGGAAACCACAAAAAATAAAGCATTATAAATATCTCTTTATATGACCCTCTTCCTCTTGTGTACTCAACTAGAATGTCAATGTTTTAAAAGGCAGTAAGGGTCACTGAGGCAATTTTCCTTTGCATAAGCCTCAACAGAAAACAAAAATTAAGTAAAAAATTATAAAATAATATCAAATAAACATATAAAGTTTGTGTGGGTTTCATGATAATCTACTTACGGAGTATTATGAGAGGAATAATGGATCCCACGAAAGGTGTGGAAGTTAGTAGTTGTGAATAACTGGTTAAGATTATAAATTTACTGGAACTTATATGTTACTTTTTAGGAAACCCAAAGAGAGGCAATAAACCATAAACAATCTTCTATTGTCCTTTTGTAATTGAGAGAGAGAGAGAGAGAGAGAGCAGCAGCAGCTTAAATTATAAAGAATTTTAAGGATTTTTTCTTGTTTAATCAAACAATATAAAGAACTGATGGGACCATTTTTTTGTTCTTAAATTTGAGAACGAGATAAAAAAAAAAATGGGGAAAAAAAACTCGGTCACAGCAAAATAGAGTCACGCCTGGTGTGCGTTGAGGCTGCCTCATTGAAGAAGTACAATAAATACAGCCTCGAGGCACGGTTGACGCACCTCAGTGGCGCCTTTTATAAATGCAGAGTATTAAATGAAAAATTCTACAAAGTAAAGCAGCCATTAATGTACATCTATGGAGTGCAGTCCATAAAAGTTCTTCCGAAATTTCCCCAAGGTGAGATGAGGGGGAGAGAATTTCTTTTTGAGATTTTAAAAGCCATATCGAAACCATTTTCTAGTTTAGAACAAACGATAACGTGTCAGGGGGTAGAATCCAACTCAGCAGGATGGACATCTAGATAAAAAAGCAGCCCAATGTGGGAAGCTACAGGAGAATCATTTAATCAGTTTAACGTCATCCATTCTTCTCTTCAGTTAATATCTACAGCAAACCCTGTTATACATTCTGGAAAATACGCACAAAGCTTAACAATGACAGTAAAAACTAACATCTTACATACTTGCTCCCAATTTATTCTTTGGAAGTTATTTATTTAATCTCACCATGATCAAAGGGCATAAAATTCATATCTCGATCTCGTGTTTAGGTAGACAACATAAATAACAGTCTCATTAACCACAAAATACTAATTCACACTAAACCATCAACAAAATGTTTTAAGAAGAATTAACGATTAAGCATACACAAATCCCCCCCCCC